GTGTGTAAATAAATAAATAAATAAATCTGAAAAAAAGAAAAAGAAAATTATGAAGTCAAAATGTTAATACTGCTCAGGCTGAGAAACCGGTTAAAATCCAAATTCTACATTAGACATTAGTCACTTACTTGGTCTCACACCTAATAGAGATTTCAAGATCTAAAATTCTTTAATAGCCTCCGTGACAATCAATTTCTTCCCCCTGCCCAAAAAATGTGAGCAAACCTGCTGAGTGGGGATCTTAAGACACTGAGTGCAAACTACCGATGCAGAACTAAATCTTGGGCAGCTTTATTAAGTCAGAATTTCAAAATAGAAACATGAAATTGGGCCTCCATGGAGGTGCAGCTCCATCAAGCTATCTCCAGCCACTGCTGCATAAATTCAATTCCCCTTCCCCTCTACAAGGCACAGCAGACCTCTCCAATCTCTATGGCTGCTCCTCTCCACAGCGTTCCAGTAGCTCTGACCCTTCTGCTCCCCACTGTGCCTCTGGTGTATCCTCCCTCTCACCCTCTGCACCGCTGGCCTATAACCCAGTTCCTGTGTGTGCCTCAATAAAACAAATCTTAAGAAAAAAACAAACTCGGGCCATTAAAAGTAAACAAACTCCAATCCACAGAAATTACTAACTGGATTTACTTCAGTAATGGGAAAGCTCAGGATTGATCCTGTACTAATTCACACACCAGCTAATAATTATCTGCCAGAGTAATAAACATTAATGACTCCATTTAAAGTGGCACAAGGCATATACCCTTTAAAGCCCATGTAACCAACTACTGACATTAAATCCAAGTTGTAATGCCATCAGGCAGAGAAGTGTTACACCTAATTCAACTATGCTCCATAGCAATTTAAGAACCACAAAAAGTCCTAGAGGCAACCAGGTTCCATCCACACTAGTCATATTTGCTAGACTAATGGGGAAGAAAACTCAAAGCAGGGAACTACACACTGAAATCTGTGAATGGGGCATCTAAGCATGATGCCTAGCTACTTGCATTTGGCAAATGTAAGACCAGAAAAGCTTAAAAGCAAAATGACTTGAGGTCAGAGCAGCTTAACTCCGAGAACAAGTTTCTCCATAATCTCCAATTATTTCCTCATAGTTAGGGACAACTGAGAACTTTTATCCAGTCTAGAGCAGGAGGGGGGCACAACACTAGTAATCTACCATAAAAGTAAAAATGTATAATACAGTCTTTCCCATTGATAGAAGACTGGTTCAATTAAGCATCTGGTCCCCTACATTGTTTTCTGGTAAACAAACCCAACTTTTTGCATTAAAGGATTCGACTAAATAAACGTCAAGTTATCAGATACAGGCTCCATTCAGTTTCACTGCACTGGCAATAAAATGTCTTGAAGAATCCATTCTGTTCTCCACTTCTACTGGTATCTAAATCCATGAGCAAACCCAGGAACCCCTATCCTTATGGAAATTCCAAAGCAAATAATAAAAACGTCTGCGCTTAAAATATTTTGTTGAAGTAGAAAGTACTTTATTTGACTAATAAAGAAAAGCAAGCCTATGCCCAAGACTTGACCTCCTGTTATTCCACACTTGTTCCAAACTCCCTTTTGGTGAATTGTAAAAACCACAACAGCAGGGTAGGAAGCAAAATGAAGCCAAGTGTCAGAGTAGTATTTTATTATTTCAGTTTTTGTAATTAGTTAAGTAAAAAATCCTACTTAATTCTTCCCAGTTGCCACTAAAACTGAAGGTAGAAAACAGCTTTCATAAATTGTTTTGCTGGAGGAGCAGTGGGGAGTAATTCAAAAAACCAGTCACAATAAATTGTAGTAACTGTAGGTCAATTACAACAGCTGAATCCTTTTAAATAGCTAATTTAATGGGGGGATCATCAAAATATCAAAATTTCAACTCAACGACTAATTAAAGCCCTACAAAGAAAAGTGCCTCTATAGTGTTTTTTAGAAATAATCACTTCAATTCCCATTTCGTTTTAGTGCAAGAACAATTCCTCCCACCTTTCAACCATCAAGACCCTAGTTATATTTCAAAAAAGCAGTAACTTTGTTGCAACAATTCAGTCCAACTCAACCAAAGGTGGCGATTTCTAAACAGATGCAGTAAATCCCGTTCTTCTAGATTTCTTAAATTTGACTGCGCCTTTTCACTTTCTGCTGGACTCTCCTGTAGAAGGTTCCGCACAGAACGTTGTGGGTTCCGACCACAACTGCCTTCAACGGGCCAGTCGAGAGCCGAGGCTCCTCTGTAAACCTCACTGTGCTACGGTAAGTTGACCTGACAGAATCATACCTTTCAGACCTCAAGATTTAACTCTTGAGGCACTGAGCTAAGTTACAAGTCACACCAGTATTTCAGAGTGAAGTCCAAGTTCAAGTACTTGCACCAACCAAAAATTAAAAAGCGCTCGCAGTGTCCTCGAATTTACAGTTGTAAAGAACACGCCTCAGATCTGGCTGCATGCAAACTCCCCAGTATTAGAACCAAAAGGTTTCCCGCGGGAGGGGACTTCTCGTTCACTAAGAGAAGGACAGTCCCGAGGAGTTTCAATGTAATTAATTCATCCTCGGGTGTCCGCCGAGACGCGTGGCGCGAGCGCTCGGCACCCAACACCCGCGCGCTACAGGATGTCGCCGAGCTCCTCTTGCTCTCGCCCGCAGCAACGCGGGGTGCGCCACCGGGAGACCCGGCAGAAGGCGCTCGGGGTAAGAACGGGTGCGCCACGAGTGTGGACGCTTCTCCGGGAAACATCAATGCTGCCACAAGGACTGGGGGAAGGAATTTGCGAGTGTGAGAGAGCGGCGGGGCCTCGAGTCCCAGAGCTTGAGGGCGGGAAGGGCCTCACCTTGCTGCGGTCCTCTTCCTGCTGCTGCAGCAACTCGGGAACCGCGGCCATGGCGACGCGGGCCTCGAGCAGGAGCTGCCTGGCTGTGCGAGGAAAGAAGAGGCTGGGCCGCCGCCGTCGGGGCGCCTCTTAGGGGCGGCCGCGGCCCCGCCTCCAGTGGCCTCCCTGCCCGATGGCGGCAGGAGGCCGCGGGACTCCGCCACCATCCCAGCAGCCCCGGGAAAGGCGAGCGGCGCGCCACGTGCTCCCCTAGAGCGGCCTCCCCCGACCCCGCTGCCGTCCATGTTGGAGCCGGGCAAAGAAGCTACGCGGGGCCTACCCTTGCTCGGCGCCACGCGGGAACCGCCGACCACAGGACCGCGACGCTGAGAGGACTAACAAGACAACCTCCCAGCGAAGCGCGTCTCAAGAAAGAGCGCGTGCTCCTGCGGGGGAATTTATTACTCAGCCCGAGTCCAAGATGGCGGACGATCTGTGACGTAAGCAAGATATCGTGAGAGCAAAGCGGGCATTTCAGGCAGCCGCGCTTCCGCCTGAGGCAAGAGAACTCCATTGATAGCTTGTCAGCTGAGGGTGAACGACAGGGTAAGGGCGGTACAAGCGCCCTGCAGGGCATGCTGGGATTGCTTGCCTTGGGCGGGGCCTAACTCAAGACCAAAGCGCGGGACTCATGAAAGTACGGGTCGCGAGAGGTTGTTGGCGTCCTGGAAGTTAAGAGAATCCTGCTGGTTCCGAGGTATCTAACCCTGCAGTGAGCTGGGCTTCTACTTACGTCGTCTGTCCCCTAATCCTGACTCACAACCGAGGAGTCATAGCCGTTCCACTTCCACTTGTGGGGGGCGGGGGGCCGCCTTTTGGGGACCACCATGGTGGGCTCTACTGACTGCCCCTTAGGAGCTCGAACTCTAATGCAAGATTTCCCGCTTTGTAAAACCGGATCGCACAAGTACCCACTTTGGAGGTTGTAGGTGTTAAATGAGAACTCTCCATACAAAATACTTAGCAAGAACCTGGTGTTCAGGGTTCTGTGAGACATTGTTAACTATGGCTACCCACACCGCTTTGGGACCGGTGCCAGCGTTCTGTTCTTAGATTCACACAAGCCAAGTTGACTTCTTAGGCTTCGCATTTCTTAAGCCTGCCCACTATTTCGTATATTACTAAGTGCTGGGCCATTCTGGTACTGGTGAGTCTTTGCAAATAGCTTTGTCCAAGCATATCGATAGAACTTTTTGAATACAATTTTAACGCCCTGTGTAATGCCCATGAAGCTTTCACAAAGATAATTCAAATTTTTAAGAAGTTTGGTATCTAACACCGCTTTTCTCTTTAATAGGAAAGCAAAAGTTAAAAGGGTTTTGGCATTGCAAGTAGAGAAGAGGGAAGTGAAAGAAAAATCTAAATATGAAAGCATTTCAGACCATCTGCATGCAACTCAGGTCAAAGGGGTTTTTGGTAGAACCAGACCCCCGTGTGAGATTCTCCACTTCCTCTTGCTTATGTGACCGGAAAAAAAAAGTGAGCCCTTATGAAGAAGTAAATCAAGAAAAATATTCTAATTTAGTAAGGTCTGTCTTGTCGTTCAGAAGCCCTGTTCAAACTCCAGAATCATTGTTTGAGGAAGATACTTTACTCTATGGACCTGTGAGTAAGAGTAAGCAGCCAAAGCAAGATGAGGAAGCAAGTGTTCCACGGAACTGGTTTTCTCTCTTCAATCCAGAGAGACGCATAAAACCAAATGCAACGTGTGATCCTACAATTCCTTTGAAAATTCCTTTGCAAAAGAATATGATACCAAGTGTGACCCGGATCCTTCAGCAGACCATGACATCAGAACAGATTTTCTATTTGGAGAGGTGGAAACAACGAATGATTCTGGAACTGGGAGAGGATGGTTTTGCAGAATACACTAAAAGTAACTTTCTCTATAACTTTTCTAAAATATAGAATAGTGTCAAATGAATTTCCTTTTTAATCTTAACTAGTAAGGAACTACCTTTAAATGCTGATAATTAGCGTTAAGTAGCACACTTATGTATTAACTCAAGCCTCATTACAAAGAAGCACATATATCATCTCCATTTCTCATATGAAAGGGGTGCATGGAGATAATTACTTTAAATTATGCATTAAGTTCATAGTTTTATAAGTTACCAACTTAAGTATTAAATTGTCTTTTTTTATTATTATGGGAAAGTCAGCCACCTGATTAAAAAAGTTGTAATTGTTTGCTGGGCATTCTCTTCAGAATCTTGTCAAGAAACCCCTTGCTCTATTTAATACTGGTAAACTTAAAGATTCTAGCAATAAAGCCAAAACATGATCTGTTCTTAGATCATGGTAAATTCAGGTAATCAGATACTCTTGACTAGGAACTGAAATGAACGTTAGTCTTCAATTTACTAACTTCTTAGACAAGTAAAGAGAATAGTTTCCTTAAAACATATTCCATTCAAAAGCAAGATGAAAGGAAAAACCATTGGCATGGGGAAATCAGCTGGTTCCTATCAGCATTACATAACTGTCTTTTGTTAAAACTGAGTTTTACATTGATAGTCCCTCACTTCCCAGAGGACACTTCATACATCCACAGTGGAATACATTCACTCTTATTTTTAGTTTAAAGTGTATTGTGCTATTCCGATATAGCTCTCAACCCAGGATCAATCTTAAAAAATATGAAAAGCCTTTTTTTTCCATGAGGTTTTTTTCCATGATATTAGCATCCTCCCAGCACTCCAAACCCCCAGCCCCACCCTACTCCCACCAAAAAAGGGGAAGGAAAAAAGAAAAAACATTTCATAATTCACTAAATTGATTGACAGGAGAGGCAGCCTTTTTTTTCCCAGGCATCCATGTACCTTTTGAACATGGCTGAGGATAAGACTGTCTGACTTGACTCTTGATTAAAATGATCACAGTGGAAAGGGCAGAAGCTTATTCAGTTTTTTGATTTCTGCCAGTTCTACAAGCCCCAATATTGGAGACTCAAGAAATTTCTTTTTTAATGAGCTTTGTCTTTTATACTGGGAGTTGAAAACATTTCACCTTCATTCCTTTAATGCTATCCGTAATAAGTCTTGAACCTTCTAAAATATATTTTGGCAAATTGAATCTAATTTATGTTCTGAGCCTTGCATGTAGGGACTCCCATAATGATTCCCATGTTCTTGGCCTGTTATATGTGAAGAAGGGTTGGGGGTTGGGGGACGGTACAGGGGAGGGGGGGATGCAATCTGCATTGAAGAATGAATTGTCTGTTTGCTTGGCAGTTGATAAAGCTTTTTGTTTCCTGTTTTAAACATGTTTGTGATCTGCTTCATCAAGGCAGTCTTTAAGGTGAATACTTATATTTCTTTCCCCTAAGTTTTAATTCCATCAGTCCTAAATTTCTTGTAGGCTTTTATTTGTTGAAGCCAATCGAAAGGAGACAGGAATTGAATCTGTAATATGCACTTTAATGAGAGACGGGGTTATTTTACCCCAAAAACTTTCTTGGCATCTCAAGCTGGCCATTTTCTAGTGAACATAGCAAAGACAGCTGGAGTGACCCTCCCACACAACTCCCTGTCAAGGTTGGTGCCCCAGTCTTCATCATGCCCAGAGTTTATTGTCGCCTTACTGGTCATCTTGACTTAGGTATATCCTGTTTTCCTGGCCCTGGGAAAAACATCCTGTTTTTCTGATAGCGTCAGTGTCTAACACTTTGGGCATTGTTGGGGTAGGACTCTCAGTTTAAAACAAGACTTTTAACCCAAAGAAACTAGATATTAATCACATGTAGTTTTCATGTAACCTATACTATGTGTGTATATGCTGATTGCTATACTAGGTATGATTCCGTCCCTTCCTCCCTAACACCTATCAGTATAAATTAGTTCCTAGCTGAATTTCTTTTTTTGTTCTCTTTTAATGCCTTGTTTACTTATATACATTATTACATCATTGTTCATTTTTGTATGGTGTTTGCTTTCTTTTATCAGGGGTAGTCCACCATAAAATTTCTACCACCAGTTCATCCATGCACCATCACCACAGTCCCTAGTGCTCTTCTTGCCCTTGTTTTGATCCTTCTCTTTCCCCTGAAGAATGTCTGCTTTATAGTTGCCTGTTTATTTTTGGTTTTATGTTTTTTGTTATTTTTTTCCTTGATCCCTTTTTTGGTTCCCTTATATCCATTCAATATTTTTCTTTTTCCTTCTGACAGTTTCACTAAGCATAATCCCTTCTAGCCCCATACATGTTGCTGTGAGTGGTGTTAGTTTTATCTTTTTTGATTGTTGAATAGTATTCCATTCTATCTGTGTACCACATCATCTTGATCCAGTCATCTATTTTTGGGCATTTGGGTTGTTTTCAAATCTTACCTATTACAAATAGTGCTACAATAAACAAAGGGCACATCTATTCTTTTGAACTAGTGTTTTTGTGTCATTTGGGGAGATCTCTAGGACTGGAAATGCTGGGTCCATTTTTAGAAGTCTGAGGATCTTCCAGCCAGCTTTCCATCATGGTTGGACCAGTTTGCATTCCCACCCCAGTGTAGCAGAGTTCCTTTTTCACCACATCATCACCAACATTTTTGAGTATTGCTTATTTTTTTAATATGTACCTTTCTTATTGGTGTACAGTGATTTCTCATTGTGGTTTTGATTTGCAGTTTCCTGATTATGAGGGATGTAAACATTTTTTCATATGCCTGTTGGTCATTTGCATTTCCTCTTAGAAGGAAATGTAATAGTTTATTTTTACATCATTTTGTGATAGTTTATTTTTACATCATTTGTGCCTTTTTCCATCTCAGTTTTAATCTTCGTGGACTTCCCATCTCCAAATCACCACTGTGCCATCAACATAGTACAGTGCACTCTTCCCCCACCCCTTTTTTGATCCCATTCCCCACTCCACCCCTGTAAAATGTCTCTGGTATATAGTTGTTCATTATTATTATTTTTTCCCCTGGTCCTTATACTCCTGCTTTGAGTGAAACCATCTGGTATTTTTCCTTTTCTTTCTGGCTTATTTCACTAAGCATGATCCTCTCCAGCTCCATCCATATTCCTGCAAAAGGTGTGTGTTTATCTTTTTGATTGCTGAGTAATATTCCACTGGGTGTATATATCACAGCTTTTTAATCCAGTCATTTACTTTTGTGTCTGCCCATTTTTTAAGTGGATTGTTTACTTTGTTTATGTTGAATCATGTGAATTCTTTGTGTATCTTTGTGATCAGTCCCTTATCAGTTGTATGGGCAAAACTATTCTGCCAATAAGTAAGTTTTGTTCTTTGTTTTGGTAAATGTCTCTTTTGCTATACAGAAGCTTTTTAGTTTTGATGTAAACGCAGCTGTTTATCTTTTCCTTCTCTTTCTTTGCTTTGGGGGGGGGGTGAGTCAGAAAGATGTTACTGAGATGTATGTCATGTAGTGTTTTACATATATTTTCTTCTATATATTTTATGATTTCAGGTCTTAAATTCAGATCTTTTATCAATTTTTAGTTGATTATTTGTGTGTGGTGTAAAGTAGTTGTCTAGTTTCATTCCTTTACATTTGGTGGTCCAATTTTCCCAGAAACATTTATTAAACAAACTGTCCTTGTTGCGTTGTATATTCTTTGCTCCTTTGTCAGGGATTATTTATCTATATATGTGTGGCCTTATTTCTGGACTTTCTATGTGGTTCCATTGGTTGTGTGTCAGTTTTTGTTCAAGAACCATACCGTTTTTATTATTATGATCTTGGAGTATAGTTTGAAGTCTGAGAATATAATACCTCCATTCTTTGTTTCAGTCAGGAGAGCTTTGCTATTTGAAGTTTTTTGTGGCTCCATATGAGTTTTGTCAGTATTTGTTTTATTTCTCTGAAGAATGTCATTGATATGTATATTCAATGTATTGAATCTGTAAATTGCTATTCGTAGGATGGCCATTTTGATGTTAATTCTTCAATCCATAGGGGATGTCTTTCCATATTTATGTCTTCTTCTTTTAACAGTGTTTTATAATTTTCTTTGTATGGGTTCTTTACTTCTTTAGTTGGTTTATTCCAAGTATTTAATACTTTGTTTCATTATATAAGGGATTGTTTCCTTGACTTCTTCAGATTGATTGTTTGCATATAGGAATGCTACTGATTTTTGTGTTGATTTTATCTTAACTACTTTACTGAACTGGGATCTATTGATATGATCGTATGGTTTTCATTTTTCTCTTTGCTAATGTGTTGGGTTACAATACATAAATTGAGTTTCAGATGTTGAAGCATCTTTGTGCCCCTGAAATAAATCCCACTTGATTGTGGTCTTTATCCTTTTGATGCATTGTTGGATTTTGTTGGCAAGGATTTTATTGAGGATTGTCACATCAGCATACAATAGGCATATTGGCCAGTAGTTTTCTTTTTGTATGTGTTGTCTTTGATTGGTTTGGTATTAGTGTAATGTTGGCATCATAGGAGGTATTTGGTAATATTCCTTCTTTCTCAATTTTTTTGAAAGTTTGTGTAGGATAGGCACTAGTTCATTTCTGAACATTTGGTAGAACTATTTGTAAAGCCATCTGGTCCTGGGCTTTTGTTTCTGGGGAATGTTTTGATTACTGTTTCAACTTCGATTCTTGTAATTGGTCTGTTTAGGTGTTCTATCACTTTTGGATTATTATATCATTCTAGGAATTTGTCCATCTCTTCTAGATCATTGAATTTATGTGCATATAAATATTTGTGGTAATCTCTAATTATTTTGATTTCTGCTGAGTCTGTCATAATTCTCTTCTTTTATTCATGATCCTATTTATTTGTATTTTCTCCCATTTTTTCTTTGTGAACCTGGCTAGAGGTTTGTCTATTTTGTTTTTGGTTTCAGTGATCTTTTGGATTGTTTTTTAATTTCTATTTGATTTTTATTATTTGCCTTCTACTGGTTTTTGGGTTTTTATGTTCTTTTCCTAGTTCTGTGAGATAAGAGATTAGGTTGTTTCTTTGAGTTCTTTCTTGTTTCTTGATGTGAGCTTGTGTTGCTCTATATTCTCCTCTTACGACTGCTTTTGCTATGTCTCATACGTTCTGGAAAGTGGTGTCCTCATTGTCATTCAACTCAAAGTATTTTAATTTCTTCTTTGAGTTCCTTTTTAGTTCAGTGGTAGTCAGTAGAGGGGTTTCAGTCTCCATGAAATGGGAGTGTTCCTTTCTTTTCATGATTTATTTCTAGTTTGATGCCTTTATGATCAGAGAAGATTGTTGGAATGATTTTGATGTTAATGTATCTGTTGATGTTCTGGAGTCCAGTACATTCTCCAATTCTGGAGAATGATCATGGGCACTTGAGAAAAATGTATACTCATTATTTTTGGGGGTACAGTGTCCTGTAGCTATCTGTTCAGCCCACAATGTCTAGGTCTTTCTTTAGGGCTCTAGAGTCCTGGTTTATTTTTTGTCTCATTGATCTGTACATTGGGTGGACAACATGGGGTGTTGAAGTTTCCTACTATATATGTATTTTCTCTAATGTCTGTTTTCCGAGGTGATAATTGTCATATATTTTGGTGCACCTTCATTTGGTGAGTATATGTTGATGAGTGTTATGTCTTCCTGATGTATTTCCCTTTAATCATAATGCAGTGTCCCTCAATGTCTCTTTTTAACATTTTAAGTTTGAAATCTATTTCATCTGATATAAATATAGCTGTTCCTGCCTTCTTATTTGTCCCATTATGCTTGTAGGACTGTTTTCCAACCTTTTACTTTCAGTTTGTGTTTATCTTTTGTAGTTATATAGTTATGTTTTCCTTAAGTGTGTTTCCTGGAGACAACAGAAGGTTGGATTTTGTTTTTTAGTCCAGCTTGCTGCTCTGTCTCTTTTTATTGATGAGCTTAGTGATATGTTGCCATCTGTATTTGTCTTTTTGTGATTTTTCTTCCTTGCCTTATTCTGTTCTTATTCATTTCTCTGTTGTTTTTGGCTTTAGGACTTCTTGTAGTATTTTTTGGAGTGGAAGTTTAGTAGTAATGAATTTCTGGAAATAGTTTGTCTAAGAAGATCCTTTTTAACTTCATAAAGGAAAGAGAGCTTTGCAGGGTAAAGTATTCTTGGTTAGTATTTGTTGACTTGGAGTTTGTTGAATATGTCATTCCAGTCTCTTCTTGCCCATCGTTTTACTTCAGAGAAGTCTGAGGTCAGCCTAATTGGTTTTCCTTTATGGATTATCTGTTTCTTCCCTGTCATCAGCTTCATTTTTTTTCCTTGTCTTGGACTCTTGGAAGCTTCACTATTATGTGGCTTACTGTAGATTTCCTTTCACTGTGGTAATTTGGTGTTCTTCTAGCTGCTTGTATGAAAATATGTCTTTCG